ATTACTCCTTTACAAGTGTTAAAAGCTATGAATTTTGAAACTGTGAAAATGAAATAATGAAATCCTGTTATTAAAAGGAGACTGTTATGTTTTGATCTGTAATAGAAAGTAAGTCCTAGAAAGGAAAGCATAATGTTTCATGAACATGACTTCTGGAAGTCATCTGGTCCACCCTCCTCCCTCCAGGCTGTGTCACCTAGATCAGGTGGCCCAGGACCATGGCCAGACAGCTTTTGAATACCTCCAGGGACATGCCAATATTCCAAGGTATATACAAGATCCCCCTGAGCCTTCTCTTCTCTAGGCTGAACAGTCCCAGCTCTCTCAGCCTTTCCTTGTAGGTGTCTTGTACTGGGGAGCCCAGAACTGGACACAGAACTCCAGGTGTGGCCTCACCAGTGCTGAATAAAAGGCAAGGATCACCTTCCTTGACCTACTGGCAATGATTTGTCTAATGCACCCAGGATACCATTTGCTGCCATTGCCGGCTTGTGTTCAACTTGGTGTCCACCAGGGCCCCAGGTCCTTTTCTTCAGAGTTGCTTTCTAGCTGGGTGGCTCCCAGTATGTACTGGTGCTTGTACTGTACACATGCAGGACTTTGCACTTCTCCTTGCTGAACTTCATGGGGTTCTGCCAGCCCATTTCTCCAGCCTATCTAGTTCCTTCTGTATGACAGCATGACCTTTTGGTGTCATCAGCAAATTGGTGAGGATACACTCTGCTCAGTCATCCAGATCATGAATGAAGATGTTAAACAGGACTGGACCCAGTATGGACCCTGCAGAACACTGCTAGTTACTGGCCTCCAACTTGACGCTCACAGATGAGCAGTTTTATATCATTTATTGAGACTTCCATGGGAGGTTTTGTGGGGCTTTCATATTATTGACAAACATGTTCCTGAGTAGAGGCACATACTTCTTCAGAAGTTATTTCTGCCCCAGTAGTCTCTTAAACATTTAAAATAGTAGAGACCTATAGCTAATTGGTCTGCAGAGATGATTAACACAGTATGATATCTTCTGTGGAAGAAGATGTATAGATACGGGCAGTGTGGATAGATATTCAAAGGGGAAGATCCCATTTGATCTACAGTATGTCAGAGGCTTCTGAAGGTGAAGGTGTACTTGGCACATCATATTACGATGCGGGATTGAGTCCTGTAATGATTTTTTTCAGAACAGAATAAGTTACTGCAAAGAGACTATGGCCTTTATACCCAATAGATATAACTTTCAAATCTAGGTAGAAAATAGATCATTGAGAGGTAAAAGGATAATCTGGACAATTAAGTTAGCAAAGGAATTGTTTTAATGAGAGATTTCTTTGCTTACTTTGTTATATCATTAGTTTTGCCAGGTCTGGATGGTAAGTATGGTAAGGACTGCTAATTATTTTTTTAGTAGTATGTTCAGTTAGTCTATTGTATGCATTGCAGTTTCACATAACGTTTTTCATGTGACAGTTCTAGAACAATGAGCTAAAGCAAGAAAATTGACCAGTCTTCATTGACAAATGGTGCTAGATAGCCCATTAAGTAGGAATTAAATCTTCCTTGCACTTAAGATATGTTGGAGTCTTTTACTTTCTCCCATCTTTAACCAAATGGTAATAAATAAATTGTGGTTTCCTATTGAAATCAGTTTTGTCACTGATTTTAACATGAGCAAGGTCAATCGTGCTATTAGGAAAAGTAAATACGATTTTTTTTAAGCTTTAAGGAAAGATCACTTGTGTTTAATCCTTTCTCAGTACTAGGCTTTATAAAATGAAGAAGGAGGAGATACTAAATGTTGCAAATGATATTTGTTTTGTCACCTTTGTGGGCCTTTTAATGATCTTCAGTTACATGGTCTTTCTCAAGTTATGTGACTTACTCCTCAAGCTGTACTTACTTTTCATAAAGCTTAACAAAATCTTTGTTAAGGACATCTTGCTTCACTGCTATTTTCCCCTTTTGGTTTTTTTCCTGTTCTATTAAATTCTTAAATAGCTCAAGTTGCTCAAGAGTAACAATCTGTTCTGTTTCTAGTAGAACAACTCATACTTGTATTTCCCCTCAAGTTGTTAGTCCTTAGCAAACTCTGGATTCAAACTATGCACTTTTTTCTTGTTTTTACCTTCAGTTATTCACACTGATATCAGCTAACACTGGGTGTATATTTAAAAAAATTCTTAGTTTTCTTCTGTCATAACTGTAAAATATGTATTATCTCCATTATTATTTCAGTTACGTGTTTGTCCTACCAGACTGTGTTATGTAATATAGGATAATTTTTCTTGCTGAAATATTTATTTATTTATATTTGGCTGCTTTTGTTATATAACCTCATCTCTGCTGGTTTTAATCCACTTTCTGGTTTTTTCCCCTTCTCATACGTTTATACTTATAGAGACACAAAACTTAAAGAGCGTCTTTAATAGACTTTGCAGAAGTGATGAACAACTTCTAAGTCTCTTGGCATTCATATTTGTATCTAAGCATTTGTATTTAGTATCATATACGTAAAATTCTTTCCATAAATCATACTCAGTTGTTTCCATAAAATATACTTCGTATTATTCCATAGGTCAAAGCTAAACAAGTATTATAAAGTCAGCTTTAGTGTTTGGTTAACACTGCTGCTGAGGCTCTCAGTGTTTTTGAAACTTTGCTGTATTTTCTTCTGCCATAAGAAACTTTTGCTCACTGGTGTACTGTGGGAGTCAGTCTGGCAAGTCATCCTCCCAAAACAGTGTTCCGCTTTCCCTCAAGCTATGGTGTGTTTTGGGGCTTTTTGGTTTTGTACTTTTAAGATAAGTCTGTGTCTTGGTGGACCTATGCCTACTGCCCTCTTCCTGCATCCCTTAGGCTGTTTATGACTTCTGCAAACACAACAAATTTTCTCACAAAATTAGAGTTCTTTTTTTGTATGTATATCCATTATATATATGTATAAAATAGAAAATCTAGAAAGGAACTCTGTGCTCAGTCTTGAAGTGTGGCTAATGGATTTGCAAAAGGCATCTTTCAACTGTGAAGAATCTCACAAGCGCTGCTTTGCAGTTGAAGAGTGGGAAGAAGGATTCACTGAATAATAAACATTGGTCCCTGCAAAGTACCATCAGCTGGGGGCGTGTACAAACTGTTAACAGTTGTTCTCCCTGGAGAGGGTTGCTGTCCTATCACAGGAGACTCCTCTTTCTTCGTGATGCAGATAAAGGAACTAATTGCATGTTTTGTTTACAGTGGAAGAGTCAGATGCTGAATATTTCCTGTATCTGTTGCCAACAAAATCTCTGTCAAGGTTATATGGAGTCTCAGAGATTGGCTGCTACTAAATTTGATTTGGAGTATCTGCAAAAATAGCTTTTACATTAAAATGTTGATTTATTGCTACAAAAAATGTTCATTAAAAACATTGATTCATACAAAATTTTTCAATGACTTTCATTTTCAAACTTACAAATGCTTTTAAAAGCTATCAATAAAATGTTTTGTGACTTACACAAGCAAAACTTTTTTTCCTAGCTCATTCATTTCAGTTAATGAAGCATTCTTTTTTTTCCTTCAGATTTGGAACAGAACTTCTTCAACACAGTCTACTGAGATGGGAAAAAGTTTCCTATCCAATTCTAGTTGTTACTGTTTTCTTGTTAGTCAAAGACAGTCTCAGTTTCTCAGCTGACTAAATATGGACTGGCTACTCTTCTTTAAATTACTTTTCCCCTCCAAAGAAGCCAGTTTTAGCCATGGGATAATAATCCCTTTCTATGTTTTTACTTCTGTATGTAATACACTGGTCTTTCACAGCTGTGCTTGAGATCTGGCATCAGAAATCTCCAGATGAGTGTATTTAGAGCTAAAACTGTATGGCAAGCTTAATGCATTAATGCTAGACATCCTTATGATCAGTCAACTTCGTTCTCTCATTACTGTTTTTACTTTTTAAAATGGGAAGTTTCGTTCAGGTTTGATTCTGTTATTTTAGCTAGTTGTGAAAGCTTGACTGTGTTTCTTTTCCTATGCGCATCCAGAAACTAAGAAAAACAGTCTCTATCAATATTTCAAGATTTCTTGCCAATACTTTCACTTCTAGCAGTGTATCTAAAAAAGATGTTTCACTGACTGCCTTTTGCTCATGTACATGTGTAACTTTTTTTATGCTTCTTGAGTTGCTTCATGATTTCTTTGCCATTTTTCTCAGCTATAGGTCTGTTCAGTAGTTCAAAAGGTAGCTCTTTAGGACTTCACTGTAATATCGTGGAAATTTGTGTATTTAAAGCTGGAATACATTGCAAGTAATTAAAGACTGCTTCTCGAAGTATACAATTAAGGCTTCTTAAAGGCTTTCTATTTGTAAAAAGGTTTTTTCAGAAAGTTTTGTTATCATAAATTTCAGCTAATAAGGTATAGGAAAAAATGTAGGTCTCTACTCCAAGGCAAAGAACAAACGCTGTTTTCCCATTATATTAAAGTCCAAGAGTTATCTCAAGCATTTGTTTAAAATTCAGATGTAGTGAATTAGACTTGACAAAGCTTGATAACACAGTTGTTCTGTGTAACATCACGTTACAATGCACAACTGCTTACTGTTTGCATGGGGTAGCTTTCCTGGGTAAAGTTCTCCCTGTACAAAGTCTGAGCAAATGAATGAACTCTTTTGGAAAATAATACATATTAGTGTTCAAATTTTGTGCTTGATCTTTGCATGAAGATGAATTTGTCCCTGTAGAAAGAGGCGAGTGTTGTTGAGGCCTTGTAGATGCTGCGAGTCCAGTAACAGCTGCGGGGCTGTGGCCTTGGGACCAGTGTATGCTGCAGTTCTGGACTGGGGAGATAAGTTTTGTTCAGAAACCTGATTTTCTAAGAGAAGTCTGATATTCAGTAAACTAAGATACTTCTCAAACAGAAGAATTGACAAAATCAGTTTGAAGTACAAAGAGATTCTAGCAAATTTTCATTTAAAAAAATGAATGATACACAAGCTCTTCTTTTTTTTTTTTGTTTTTTTTTAGATTCATCAGATGGAAGTCTAAAAGCTTCTACGCATCATGGGACAATAGATGTTTATGTCAGTCAATTGAGAAAAGTGGATCTGAAATCCCAGAAAGGTTAGCAAACTGAAACAAGTATTTTTTGTGGCAGCTTATGATGTAAAAGAAAAGGGGGTAAGGGATTTTTCTGTTTATCTGTCAGGAAAAAAAAGAGTTTGTGATTGTTGGTTATCTGCATTCTTTTTTACCTCATTATTAGCAAATGTGTATAGATACGTAAGGCGCAATGATACTTAAAATGGATTACAGAATACTTTGATTTTTCAATACTTATTTTTTTTCCTGGCAATCTATCCAGCAGAATTCTGCAGAGTTGACTTGGATTACAGACTTCCTTTGCCTTGAGCACAGTTTACTCCATGATGCTGATACATGTGTGTGGAGAGTGACAGCCATCACCTCTTTACATTTTTTCCCCTGTCTTTTCCTAGTGAAATGTCCCATTATTGAAATTGGAAGGCAGAAAAATGAAGATGAGAGGTCCTTACCCTACCATTCTTCCTTTTTTTTTCCCAGTTACTTACTAGAATTTCACTTCTTAATTAAAAGCTCACTCCTGAAGTTGGATTCATAGTTTTACAATATTGTATCTTCCGAATGGCAAATAACAAAGCCCTGAATAAATCTTGTTAGTTCTAGTTTAAAAAAAACAAAAAACCAAAACCAACAAAAAAACCCCCACACAAACAAACCACAAACTCTACAGCATTTCTATAGTTGGCTTTAACATTGTCAGACACATCAGGTGGTTTAAATGACTGTGGTGTTTGGTACCCTTCTCTTGTTGTCTGTGAGACAATGCCTGTGCTCTATTAAGACCTAGCAGTTACTCAGAAGGGGAATAATGAAGGAAATGCATTGAAATCACTTGTGTGCCATTCTCCTGTACAAGCTATTCTGGTTCCATTGGTGCAAAGAAAATGATTTTCGTATTATTTCCTAGTTACCTTTTGAATCACTTAGTATTAAGTTATGCCTCTGAATTAGTAGCAAAGAGGAATGTATTTAATAAAAGCTATTTTATGTTATTTTCAAAACATTGCCTGACATCTGTTTTGGCAGCACAGTTTAGTAAAGGCAAAGTTGATGAAGTTCTGAGGTTTTTTTACCCCATAAATTCAGTTACTGCTGACAGCTGCAGTGTAGAAAATGTCCCATTTGTGATAAATTAGCTGCATGTGTGTTGGATTTTATGAGTCACATCGCTGAGCAACTCTCCAAGGAGGACCCAAAGATGAAGACCTTTTGCCTTTCTTATCCTAAGACTTTTGTGTATCCAGCAAAATTTAAGCTTGAATTACACTGACAGTTATTTGTTCACCAGGACTGTCACAGGCAAGTGATTCTGCTGAATATAAATTGCGTGGCTAGGGTTCCTTTCTGACCGCTGCGTAGTTGTTACACCATCAGTTTTCTTACAGTGTTCTGCTTCAACTTTTGGGGTGTATTTAAAGAAACTTTGTTTTCTAAAGTGAATGTTGGAATTGGGCAAAAAACCTAAGGAGCACGCATACAGAAAGTGTATACTGAATTTCGGTAGGTTTTGGTTTAATATGTAGGGTGCAGCTTCCAAACACTGTGACTGAGTAATTCCAAATATGACTGACATGGGCAGGTTGGTGGCCCAGCATCTGCCTTGGTCTGATGCACAGAAGCATGTACTTAGGGGAAGCAGAAGTCCGAGTTTCTGTTTTTAATCTCAAGGGTAGAATTATTCAGGCCACCAAAGCTGCCATTTGAGAGATATGTAGTTGTTGTGGTTTAACCTCAGCTGGCAGCTCAGCCCCATGCAGCAGCTTGCTCGCTCACCCCGGTGGGATGGGGAGAGAGTCAGAAGAGTAAAAGTAAGAAAACTCATGGACTTGAGATAAAGACAGTTTAATAGGGGAAGCAAAAGCTGTGCACGCCAGCAAAGCAAAACAAGGAATTTCTTCCCTGCTTCCCAGGGGCAGGCAGGGGTTCAGCCATCTCCAGGAAAGCAGGGCTCCATCATGCATAATGGTGACTTGGGAAGACAAACGCCATCGCTCCGAACGCCCCCTGCTCCTCTTTCTTCCCCCAGCTGTATAAGCTGAGCATGATGTCGTATGGTCTGGGATACCCCTTTGGTCAGTTGGGGTCAGCTGTCCTGGCTGTGCCCCCTCCCAGCTCCTTGTGCCCCGCCAGCCTCCTCACTGGTGGGCTGGGGTGAGGAGCAGAAAGGGCCTTGACTCTGTGTCAGCCCTGCTCAGCACTAACGAAAACATCCCTGTGGTATCAACACTGTTTCTAGCACAAATCCAAACCGTAGCCCCATAGTAGCTACTATGAAGAAAACTCTACCCCAACTAAAACCACCACAGCAGTCGGAACTAGTTAGTCACTCTTGAGACTGCATCTGTTCAAGGATGTGAACAGCTGGCCCTGTGCAGTAAAGTGAAGAAAATTGCTACTGTTAACAGTATTTAAGCATCATCTCATCATCCCAGAGGAGCAGTTCTTTCATATGCCATGCAGTGGCTGGATTAATCATCAAATCCAATCTCCTGTCCTTGCTTGGGAGTGTAAATATGCAACTAGAAGATGAAACTAAAGTCAATACTTGTGAGATCTATTAGATTTGCTTCCCTTGATCGTTCCTCTAATAAGATCCTCTACCAAGAGCCGTTGCTAGCAGTATATATCAATGTTAATTTTCATGTTTGCTAAGGAAATACTGTGACATCATTTTCTACCTGTGACATAATATTCTGGTTATGATAAACGAAGGTATCTTCATTTATCCTCTCAGAGACAAAAAAAAGAGGTTGCTGTGTCTGAAGGCTCTTAAAAAAAACAAAACCCAAACAAACGATGTTTTGATTCAAGTTAGCTAAATAATTGGCTGTTTCGTGCTTTGATCTCAATGTTAAACTAACTAGCTTTCATTTAAATTTATACCAGGTTCTATTACAGTCAAGGTACCTGCCTCTCTCAAAGCCTATTTACAGTTGTCTGGAAGAAAAGTGGATGTGAGTTCAGAGATCCAGTTAAAAGAAACACAGAGTGCCTCCAAAGATGATCACGTAACTATAAGTGGTAAAGCTTACTAATCTTGGCTTCCAATAAATGTCTGTCTGGCCTTAGTCAAAGGCATCCACATTTCCTTATAAATTTATTGCTCTTGGCTCCTTCTTGTTTCATCTGTTTCAGGTTCAAATGTTTGCTTGTGCCATTGTACTCCCCATGTTATTTGATGACTTTTTCATTTTGTTTAGTAAATGACTTGTGAATGCAAACAACTGCTTCTCTAATAAGAGTCTTAGAGCCAAATTCATCCTCAGTGTTATTCCAGTGAATCTGTGGGAGGTAATCCAGGGCTGAATTTGACCCATTGCTTTGTTGGCTTAGACAGTCGCATACAATAAATTTCCAGGGAACGTCTGTTAAAAATATAATGAAAAGTTTTGTCTGTGTATCTCTGTTGGGTGGGAGGGGAAGTAAAAGGGGCATGTGCAGTATTTATAAATATACAGTATAAATATTAAACAGTGCGGGATAGGCTGAGAAGTGATGGGTGGGAGATAGCTAGAAGAGCAGAAGTTGGAGCATGGAGGAATAGACAGTACATGGAAAGGTGCCTGTGATTACTGGAAGCATTCTTCCAATGCATTTAAAATTGAACTTGGGAATCCCAAGTCTTGCTGTTCCCTGCTTTAGAAAACAATTGTACAATTCATTGTTAGGGTGTGTATTGCTCTTCTCTCCAGACGTGTCTATCTAGAAGTTAAGGCTGTTGCTGTTACCAATTACTCAGTTTGCTCAAGAGGAAACATTAATGTAATGTGTCTGAAGGCTCCAGCTTTGTTTTTGAACGTGTTATGTCAGTATGACCTGCTATGATAGCAGATGGGGTGAGGCTTTGAGTATTTCTTTGGTTTTTAAACCTAAGAAAATATGCACAAAAGTTCTTTTCCTCCCCCATGTAAGATGATAATCTCAAAGTCAGGAGATTTTAGAAGTGTATGTACATAATTTTAACACAGAGCCTGCTTATATAAAATAGGAGTCTTGACATGTATAGGTGTATCTCTTCCTGCCTTGAATGGTAACTAGCATTTAAATTTACTAGTGGTTATTAAATACAATTTTTTTAAAAAACCCACTAAGTTCTCAAGCTAGAAGCCTGTGGAAGGACCCCAGATTCCAGCAAGGTTCTATGAAATGAGTTGGCCTCAGCAATAAAACAACACCTCTCCCAGTGAAGGAGGACCACTGGCCAGGCAATCATCTTGTTATTCTGGCAACATTAAAGATGAGTGGTGTTTCAGATATACACAGCTCAATGGCTTCTCTGCTTTGTGACCCAGTCAGTGTTTAATGTAGCACAGTCACCGCTGAAGCGGATGGAATTTTTCAACCCACCATTCTGTATGGAAGTAACCTTGGCAGTTGAGGCCAAAGCGGCTCTAATTAGTTAACCCTCAAATATACATATCCCAAAGTCATGGAAATCAGCAAGAATTATGCAGAGGCAACAGCATTAGGCCACTGATCATCCCTTGTTTAAAGAGGTTGTTGCATTGCACAAAAAGTGTATTAAACATAGATCTAAATTGATCATAATACAGGTGAATGAAAAGTATACCTGGAATGGATTTTCTGCAGGATACAATACTGCTAAACTAGTGCTGGCCTGAAGTAACTTATCTTCATCTGTCTTTGTACCTGGCATTTAGATTTGTTGAGTGTTTTCTCACATAATGTAATCAATGATTTATAGCAGCTCTCTTCTCCCTTTTCTTCACTGGTCAGTAAGAAGCAACATACCTGAAAGGAGATGAAGTGGGTGGTTTTAACCTGTGCTTTGCTCCTTTTCTTACCCTTTGAAAATAGTGCCTCCCCTAGCTGCTGGCCGTTAAACCACGACACCACATCAGTAACATTCTTTCGGCGTGGCAAGGGAGATGCTTCCTGCTTCTCCTTCTCTTTGCCTTATTCCATGGGGACAGTGTATTCTTTCTGTGGGCCAAGCACTTGTTCCCTCGTTCTTAACAAACTCTTCTTCTTGAAGTTGATACTTGAGAATTTTCTTGTACAAGTAGATCCTGAAATAATTAAAAATCATTTGATACTGTTTCTATATCATGAAAACTTTACTGTTGAAGTTTTAGGTACAGAGTCTATAGCTGTCCTGTTGCTGCAGCTAAAGAAATAGAAAATGGAGAGAAAAGAGGGGTTTTGCCAAGTGGAAGAAAACTGTATCACAAGAGCATGGAAGTTTAGATTTTTATGCTTCTGAGCTCAAAGGTTAGTTTAAAAATAGATGATTTTTTCAGAAACTGGCCAGTTCTCATGTGGATAACACAGGAACCGCCTGCTTGCAGGAAGCTTTACTTGCCTCTGGGAATATTGTGAGAGATGTTAGAGATGAGGCTCTCCAGCAGGAAGGCAGGGTAGAGTTCTGTGACTTGTGCAAACATGCACCTAGTCTATCACCTGCTGCGGGAAAGCCCTCCCTACTGCTGTCACAGCGGCTGTGATGTACATCACCAACTTGCTTCGCGGCCCCCAATTTCCATGCCGAGTGGGGAAGTCGGTACACTACAAGCAGTCACATCCAGGGTTTTGCAAGGTAGCCAAGGAATAGAGCGGGTTTTAGTCAAAGCAAGAAGATGAAAACCTAGAGGCAGAGTGATGAGAGCGTGAAAAGGTGGTTTGCTCTTTTAGAAAAGGAAGAGACATCCCTGTAAAACTGGGACACTTGCTGAGAAAGGGAAGGAGCTAGAGAGCAGTGCCGGGGAGCTTACTCTTCAGAGTAATTTGCAGGGATAAGCTACCTGTTTCCACTGACATCAGTAGGCACTCTTAGAAGTAGTATGTATGGTATAAAACTAGATTTTTCATGCTAAGCTCTGGCCTAGCTTCCAGCTGTGAAGGCATTTGTTCGCTGCCTAGTTTGAGAGTGCTTGAGTAACTCCAGTGATTTCTGATGGCGATCATGTCAAGGTATTCTCTTCCTTTCCCTGGCAGAGGGAGTAGGAAGAGAGGATTCTGTTTAGCCCTTGCTGCTCGCTGTCTTTGCCTTCCTTGTGTCTCCATGTCTGCCTGTATTCTTAAATCCGCTGATTTAAGAAGCCTGTAGAGATCACAAACTATATCTGGAGCTATGTATGATAAGAGGAAGCATAGCAGGCTAAAAAGTGTCAAATATTCAAGCAGAAAAGAAGTTCAGGAGACTGTCATGCCAAAAGAGTTGCGAACATGTTGAAATTCAAATAATCCTGATTTATATGCTTTTTAGGCCATTTTTCTAATAAGTCCTTTTAAGTTCAAATTATGAAGGTAGGAATAATTACCTGTGTGGTCCCAAGAGGAGGAATATTTCAATAAAAACATCAGTAAACAGGAAACAATAATGTTACACAGTTGCAAAAAATAAACAGTGTATTAACATAACTGTTTGTAAAGCTCAAAATAATCCCTTGGCTTTACGTGGCATTAGTAATACTTTGCTGGAAGGTGTCCAGTTTTGAGTACTGTACTTCAGAAAGGATGTGGACAGCTATAGAGAATCCAAAGGAGAACACATGGTCAGAGGCCTGAAAAAATGATTTATGAGCGAAGACTGAAAAAAAGTGTTGTTCTTGTCTAAAAAAGAGAAGACTGAGAGAAGACAAGATACGCTTTCCCAGTATGTAAGAAATTGCTGCAGAGATGAAAGAAATAAATTGTTCTCTGTCTACTGGTGATAAGACTAGAAATTATGATTTGACCTTATGGTAAAGAAAACTTAGCTAAATAGTAAGATAAGCTTTCTGGTAGTCAGCACTTGCCTGGTGAGGCCATAGGACTGTCAGTGCTGCAGGCTGAGAAGAACAGGCTAGGCAAGCGTGTCAGGTTAAATACAGTGCATCCGCAGGAGGTGGCTTTCAGCCCTGTTTTCTCTTGTCCTAAGTTGATGTGAGCATCTGTTCCCACCCACTCCAAAGGGAAAGTTGTGAGGCACATGGATGGATAAATTTGGGGACTAAATGAAGGCAGCCAGCGGGCACGCTTCTGCCCACTTCCATTGCCAGCCTGTGTGTTGACATCTGTAAGCTTGCTGGGAAAAGTCTTGCAATCATTCAGAGGCTTTCTCTGGGTCCTTGTAGCTGATGGTGTCACTTTCCAAATCTAATTGTCTGGAACATAACACACACAGCCCTTTTTTTTTTTTTTTTTTTTTTTAAACCAACATGTAAATCTTCCATCTCTGAGTGGTGCCAGGGACACATGTGATTCCAGATCTTTCTCCATCCCTAGCCACAGTTCTAGTGCCAAGTTCATATCCAGTGGCAACCTTTGACCTGATGCCATCCGTTTGCTTGGTGCCGAGTGGGCTTTTGGCTTTGGCAGTCACTTACTCCATCTGGTTTTCAGCACTTGTGTGAGTTTGCTTGGTAAAAGTCCCACAGTGTCACAGGTGCTTCTCAGAGGTGTGGGTGTTTGTCTTTGCGGGCTATTGCATCTCCCTTATTCTTACTTTCTCAGGTTGGCAAACCAACCTCTTCAGATCTTTCTGTCCTCTTACAAAGAACATACTCTTTGGAAATTATTGTCTTCTCCCAAGTCGAGACATTCTCGCTCCCTATTTCATCCAGCATGACAACAGTTGCAGCAGTTAACAGAATTTTTAGCCTTTGCTACTAATCCAACCCCAGCAGCACTAGAGCTTTGCTGAGCCGCACCTGCATGGTGTTCCTCTGAGCCATGTCTTCTGGTGACCACACACACAGGTAATAGGGCGCTGTCCTTCATGTTAACTTACACCTTCCCTCAGATGTCTGTCCTAGGGACGGAGAGGAATCTCCTGTTGTCTTCTCTAACCCCCTTTTTCCTGTGAAAGTTTCCAGATAGATGATGCCTCTACCTTTTGGGTCGATCCAGCATCCAATTATTCTTTTGATCACTAGAAACTCTTTAGATGGCTTTTTTCCTCATGTGCCTCTGGAGAGTCAGCCTAATTACCAGATTCCCTTGAAAAGACAGGCATTGATACCACTGTCCTATCTCTGACTTCCTGGGTTTCTCTTAAGAACTTGAAGTCTTTTCACTGGTTCTCCAGGTAGATTGTGGTGAGAAGCACCTTTCGCTTTACAACAATCACACGCTGAAATAACACGCTTTCATGTCTGCCTGAGGTTGGATCTGGATTCCCCTCTGGAACATAGGGGATTTAGGCAGATGTTTCCTACCATGATGTCCTTCAGGAATAACTTGGTTCTTACTGCTTGCAGAATGGCTCCTCATCCAGTAGTACTGGGAGAGCAGCCTATGAGGGGCTGTGGACTTACGCTGTAAGATTGCTTCAAACCAGTGTGAAAGGAGGGAGCTGACTGCATGAGCCCTGTACACTGCATACAAGGCTTCACAGTGTTTAGCTGCTTTTGCTATCAGAAATTCTACATTGTTTACTTTAAGGTAATTTCTGTGTTCCTAGCTGCATGGAGTTCCAGGCTTAAACGCAAACACAGGTGAAGGGGCAGTGAATAATGTAAGGCAAGCAACTTGCCTTTAAAAGGGAAAAAAATGAAAGAGCTTGTATTATGGCAGTCTGCTGAAACTTAAGTTTCTTCTGAAACTTAATGGCTGTCGGAGCGTAGCACTCCTTCTCCCGCTGTGCAGCTGAGGGGGGGCTGTTGCATTCAGAGTTATGGTTCTGATCCCAGGAGTAACGCTATCCGCTGCTGTGTCCCTCCCTGTTTTCTGTGTTCTCAAGGCACTTCAAAACTTTCCTTCTTTCCTAGAAGCAATTTTTATTGACTCTTTGCCACTAGAATTGAGTGGGAAGAGCTTTGGTTTACATTTTACAGTGTCCCTTTAAACACTGTCCCTCTGTGAAGCCTTGATCCTTAAGCAGTATCTTAAAAAAAAAACAAATAAAGACCCAGGTTGTATCTGGAAAAGATTACATTCCTTCAAGTCAAATAGAAAGTTCATCCAACTTTTATAAAACACATTAGATGAGATGCTATCCTACAGATTTTTACTGGTTTCAGCTTGCATTAACTCAAGCTGTTCACAGCCTTTCTGAGATACACCACAGTCCTAACAATACCAGTGAAAAACATTTAAAATGTGCTCATCTTTGTGTGTTTTATGATAGAATAGAGCTCTCTATTCACTTGCCTTCGGAGGCTGGAGAAGTTAAACAGTCAGTACTTCACTGCATAACGTTCTGCAGAGGTGTGCTCTGCCTTTAGACACATATGGGGAAAAACCCCAACTTTTTCCTGGGTGTCAAATTGAAAAAGTGGCCACGCAGCAGACTGGTGCATCTGTCTTCTCCTGAGCTCATGCTGTGGTCTTGGCTGGTGGGTTTTGAAATTCAAACGATTTTTCTGGTTTTTTTTTTTTCCCCCTCCTCATTCTCAATCCAGCAGGCTGTTGGCTTTCATGATTTAATCACGCTAGCAAAGTCATCCTCAAAATCCACTTACGTTCCCACAGTATTAGAGGCAATGAGTACAGTTAAGACCAAACTGTCATCAAAAGGTCTCCAGCTAAACCTTGTTGCTTGATTAGTGCTTCATACACAAAGCTATTTAAACATCTTAAGCTTCATTTCAACCTGCTACTGGCGATAGGCTTAGTAACCTTAAAATAGTTTAAAGATTTTCATCCCTAGGGAGTGGAACTTGACACTCACTTTCCTGCAGGCAGTTTGGTATTTTCTGCATTCCCTTCACAGGCAAATCTCCAAAAGAAGCATAAGGAACAAAACATTTTTCTAAGTTCACATAGCGAATGCAAAATGAGAAACAGAGCTCAGACAACAACTGAGCTTTAAAACAGCTTGTGAAAATTTGTTTCTGTGTTTCTTCAAACTCCTCTTTAACTTTTTAGTCAACAGGGTAGCAGGCTGTAAGCAGTGCGTGAAACTGTTCATTTACAGGGCTGATCCTGTGCTTCCGTGTTTGTTCTTGTACAAAGTACAAGCCATAGTGACAAAAACATGAGAGAGGAATTGGGACCAAGCACGCCGATATGCGCTTTCTGGAAATGTATCTCTGCCCTACATTTACTGTGTCCTCTCTCCTTGGGGGAAAAAGCTGTCTTTTCAGTGCTCTACAGCTCTGTTAAGGGATCAACTGAAATTTTCCTTTGCACTTTTTTTTTCATTCATTTTTTTTCACAACTGGAGGCTATCTCCTGTTTGAAATTCAGACTGATACAATGTTTTAAGGGCTACCTCTACTTAAAGATAGACTTTGCTTTCCTTTCTGTTCTGTATTCTCTGATACAATACTATTGCAAATCGATAATTCAGGAAAGCTTTCTGAGGAATTGAAGTTTCAGGTTTTAACGGATTTTACGTATGTATTTCACGTTTCATTTGTCCAACTTCATGATGATCATCATAGATTTAAGTCCATAACTAGATGGGGAGCAGAACTGTGGATTCTGCCTTACAGTAGGAATGAGACTGAGGGTGATTGAGACTGCCACTGCCTGGAGTGATCAGGAGTGCAGAAGTTGTACTAGGACATCCCCATGGAGATCCTTGAAGGCACGCTGTAGTCTGTTAACAAAGGACACTGGAATACCTCTTTGTTCAGTGGGAAAACTCAGTCAGTGTTGGACTCCCCTGAAAATCCCATACTTCTAAACAGTACCTCAGCCTGCTAGTGAACTGATGTGGGTTTGGCCCATAGCTTTAAATTAATCCCCCTCAGAATTACCAAAGCGCTGAAACGGTATTGAGAAGTTCTGGCACATAGGGCTGAGTTGTGGAAACCGAAGCAGTGATGTCAGTTGGAGTTTCGCCACTGTTTTTGACGTGGCCAAAACTTAACTTCAGCTGTGTTACAGGTCAGAGCAGAGCATGTTTGCAAAGTTGCTTCAGAATCTGCTTCCCTGCCATCCCTTATGCTATTCCAGGCTCAAATTAGTTCTAAACTTAGAAGTCGCTCAGTCACACGAATGCTGAAGTAATAAAAAAAGATATTTTTTAAAGATAAACCAAAGTGAAGGTTGATCTTATGATAAAGGCACTGATTTGGGACTTGAAAGATCCCAGTTTAATTCCCAATTTGGTCATAAATCTTCTGTATAAAGTTGGAAGGTTACTTATTCTCTCTTGGCCTCAGTTTCTTAATTGTAAAATGAGAGTGAGTTGAACTTTCTCCTTTGTCTGTTACACAGTGAGCTTTTCAGAGCATGGCCATGCGTACTAAGTTTATGTGAAACATATAAGACGACAGACATCTCAGGGCTGGGTTTTTTTAAGCCATTATCATACAAAAGGAGTGATAGTAGCAACATGTCTGGTCATCTGGAAAATCAAGCCTTGCCCATGTCTCTCTTCCATGTTTACAATGAAGATGAAAACTTTTCAAATTACTTAGCCAGATTAATGTCTAATGTAGATGTATTTCCTAGCCCATAATAAAACCTACTATATAATAAACCCCACAACTTTATTGTAATAACATGTTATGGGAAATGAGATTAATGCAAAAAAAAAAAAAAACTGTATCAAGAATGAAATGTCAGAAGGCCCTGTTAAAAATATAGTTCTACTAAATAGAAGTCTTATAGGTATTTTCAGGGAGCTTGGGGAAAAAAAGGCAATGTGAAAATGATATATTTACTGTGTGTCATATTAAACTAAATAGAACTCTGTTTTTCCAGGTCACATGAATCAGAAGAATGAAACAGACAAATGGATTAAGGCTGACACGCAAAATGGCAAAGTGTGTCTTAAAAGCCAAAGCTGGATCCAGTCTGTCAAGCTGAAGAGTTCTTAAAAGTGAAATAGGCCAAAGAGATTAAATCAAGAAATTGTAAAGGAACATTTCTGTAAAATTATGAAACTTTATTAATGCATATTCTTAATATAAGAGAGAAACGATATTAAAAATGAGGGCGTTTTAACCCAGGATTTGCTCGTGACAGTGGCTGGTGCTTAACAGGTCTCATTTACTTTTAGTGCCTTTTAGGAACGACAAGATCTTACATATTTAGAATTTGTTTAACTTGACCCACTTACCTTGTCAGTTTAAAAGCTGCTAACTTTCAAACAAAAGTTTGGAGTCGTCATTTAAAAATAAAAAGTATTTTCCACATTTGGTATTTGAAAATTTACTTCCAAGATGACATGCTCTGCAAGCTATTTTATATTTTTAATTTAAATGTCTCAGTACTGTGGGAATTCTACTGGTTTATGCAAAATGTAGAGGATTTTCCTCAGCCAAATGATTTGTATCGTGGATAGGATAAAACCACTTTCAGAACTGTAGTTCTTATCTGGTCTTCTCGTTTGGTGTTGGTCCCCTAAGCAGCTCCTGCCTTGTCAATGGGTACTCTATGTGTAAAGCTACTGACACGAAATGACAGAACTTGCTCTGTGTCATCCTGAACCACTTACTTGTGGACAGAAATAAAAACGCTAGCTATGTCTACCACTGTTTGTCTGCAAAGAAAAGCTTTAAAAATAAATACTCAAAAGTGCAAAGGGTCTGTCTGATTTCAGGGAGGAACACTCCACCAACCGGCCTTCAGATAAGAGTCACATGAGCATTCCCCTAAAGTAAAAGCTACCAAAGAATGGAGGTCTTGGCCTAATGAATGAGAACTTCAATCTGTTTATTTGCTACATTTCCAGTGACTTACCGTCAGCCTTGCATGACGGGACTGTGAGCTCTTTGGGGCAGAAAGGCAGAGGGAGGCGAGGGAAATGTGTAAGCGCTGCGCAAGGGCATATGTGACTTTTGGGGAGGATTTTGTGTTAACACAATACAAAGACACAGTAAAATGAATGGAGCTTTTAAAAAACTTTCCATATATATATATATCTACCCTTATAAAATAAGGATGGAAATTTGTGTTTTAAAACTGAAATGTAAGAACTCCTGCCAACTAAGTGGACGCAAGTTCAGAGCGTCAGATCAGGTTTTAAGTTGTGTATATATGTGTTACATACTTATCATAATGGTACATTATGAAATTAACTTCTTTTCCCACAGGATTCCCCAAGAGGTGTAATTGCCCCTGCCTAATGCACTTCAGTAGTCAAGGGCAGCAATTTTACTATAATTCAGGGTGGTTAAAAACTCCGCATTCTGTTTGCCATTGTGTGTACTGTTTGTTTGGGTGAGGTGGATACTTATACATGTGGCAAATTATACGTATTTTTAATATAAACACTAATATATAAAACATTACTAATATTATTATGAAGAGATGTGATATTATTAGTGATTATTATACTTTTAAAAGATACAAAACTAATAAATGTGTAATGGTTTTAGATTTCCTTAAAAATTTTTGAAACTAATGATTTCTGTGCACTGCTGCAGACAAAGTGAAAGAAGCGCCTCTAAATTCCCACTGCATTGAAAAAACAGTGTAGTAGATATTTCACAAAATTGAGTTCATTTAATGGTTCCATTATTCACACGGACTACAAAGCCTGTCAGCCTCTGTGATTAAGGTCGTGCTTTCTGGAACTGCTGCATCAGCAATTCAAGGGAGAGCACAGTAAGAGAACATGTTATTTCTTCCATGTTCAAAAGTAAGCAAGTTAAGGCTCATATTCTAAACCTCGCTGGAATTAAAAATAAGGATTGGTAGTTATTTGCTTAGAGAAGTTTAAATAAGCCATCAGAAAAATTGTGCTACCACTGAAGCTATTCTGATTATATTCTTTCCAAACTAATAAATGTTGATTCCTGCTAGAACTTTAACATAAAGGTCAAGAATGAGCTCGACACAGACAAATGTTTGGGAGTTTCCCCAAAGGCATTTGAGTAATGTCTTGTTCTGCTATAATGAGGTAAAACTTTATCGTTTTCTCTAGACAAGGAAAGATTAGTGGGTTATCAGTAATTAGGATTTGAATGGCAAATCCCATGTGTATCTTTTTTTCTTTTTTTGTCTGTTTGATGAGAAGACATGTTCTTGTTAACTGGGGAAAATTTATCCTTTAACCCTTTTCTCACCTGTGCTCCTTTTCATTTGATTCTCCTGACCCTGTCAGCTGCCAGCTAGCCCGCAGTTCAGGTCCACAAATGTACACTTGCTTAGAGAGTTGAACTCAGCCTGAGAGGCTTTTATGAGAACTGGGGCTCTGGGCACACAAGTGACTGTTGGGAAGTAGAGAACTGTGCTTAAATGTGCAAGTATAGCTGTGAATTAAGGAATCAGTAGTCACTACCTATTCGCTGTTCTTTGTTGCTCAAGAATGCTGTTCTTGATGAGTACCAGCCGTGTCAAGTGTGAAGTTCTGTGGGAAGTTGGAGTGTTTATGTCCTGTAGAGGACCTTCATGGCAAACAAGAACCCCAAACACACGCAGATTTATTTATTGCTTACTCTGCATGGGACTACAAAAACTTCTCATTGCTGAAAGATGAAGACAGCTTGAATCAACATCTGAAAGTTAACAATGTTGTTTCGGTGCGGCTGTCTTGCTTGAAGGCATGCACACTCCAGCAAGAAAGATTTGCAATGCTTCCTTACTAATTCAACAAATGGCCTTTTATTTAAGTATGGTTAGTTTTAAGAAAAATAATATAGTGTTCTTTTCATGCTGTAGTTAAAAACCCTTGAGCTTTAGGTGATGTTTCGCAATTCCTTCATCTTTCGTTTTGAAGAATTTGTTTATTCAGGCTCTGATGTGTGTTTTTTGGTGAAGGTGAATATGTTACCATCATGGTCATATCCAAGCCAGGAAGGGGGGTCAGCATCACTATGTTCTCGTTTCTCCAATTTGGCTGTATATTTTGAGACAGCTTGTCTGCAACAAGAGTTAAAAAGAAAAATAAATTACAAAAGTAAAAAAAAAAAAATCTGCAGATTTGCAGAAGCTGTTTCTACAAAGAACACTGAAAGATGTTTAATGAGCAAAAGTTCCTTGTTTTAACTGAAGCTATCAATATTATAAGAGGTGTTGTAGAAATGAAAAAAGAAGATAAGTGGTTAGGCCATAGAGTCACAGGATAAATTAGGTTGGAAGGGGCCTCTGGAGATGGTTTAATCCTGGTCTTGCCCTAAACGGATCCATTAGACCAGCTGGGTCACAGCTTTGCCAGCTGAGTTCTGAATGTCCCTAGGGATGAAGATTGCACAGCCTCCCTGGGATTCTGTTCAAGTAGTTGCCCAGCCTCCTGATTGAAAAATAGTTTGCTTGTCTACAACCAGGTCATTACATGTGCCACTGGGCCTATCAGTGCACCTCTGGGAAAAGTCTGGCCATGTCTTCTCTTCTGTACCCTCTGAACAGAGTTACAGACAGCAGTGAGGTCTCCCCCAGCCTGAGCCTTATCTTCCTGTGACCGAGCAATTCTTTCAGCTTCCCTTCACCCATCGTGTGCTCCAGCCCTTTAACCGTCTCGGTGCCCCTCCTCTACCCTTGCTCTAGCCTGTCCCTGTCTGTCACGACACACATCTGTGCCACTGAGTAGGCGATGCCATTGGAGTCATAGCATTGTGGTTTGAAGAAAACATAACACCAAACAAGGTAAATAAGCCAGTTGCATCAGAAGATATCCCAGAGTCTCCAGAGTGGCTTTTCATAGCTGCCTAGGAAGGCTACAGAAATGTGCAGGTCCCTATCTCTGGTTTTTTTTCTTTGAACAGTCTCTTGTGGTGCCTCCAAGTATTTTTGCCCTTCCCTGGTGCACCTTCTGCTTTCTTTTGGGCTGAAATCTCCACTTGAAGTTATCTTCTGTCACCCACCTCTTTTTACAGTGTATTGCTTCTGAAACAGCATTGCAGTGGGCAGTGTTACAGAGCTTTGCTTTTCCCTGTGCTGGCCCTGAGCTCGCTCCAAGGCTCTGCTTTGCAGCTTCTGCGACAGCTGAACCAGAAGAGACTTGCTTATGATGTCTCACACCACCCACAACCCCTCTGATCTCCCTCAGCGTTTTGTGACCACTGCCCCTTTGCAGCATTAGAACACAAAAACAATGAACTAGAGCAAAACGACACAAACAGGAGTAAGTTGGGCCTGCCGAGAGGGACACCCTAAAAAGAAGTTGAAGAGCCACTCTCCTCTCCCTCTTTTCCAGGCAGTATCAGTCCAGCAACTTTCATTGCCTTCCCAAGCTGAAGAAACTTAACCCGCCACTTTCAGTCTTTTGAACGTCTCCTTCTTTCCATCGCTTCTGCGACTTGGCCGTCAGCCCGCTCCCTGCTGCGCAGAGCACCCGCCTCCCCCGGCCTCCCCCATCCGGGCTCCGGCGCTCCAGAAAGCTCCCCCGGGCCAAGCGTTCTCTGCTCGTTGGGGAAGAGCCAGCTCTACATCTCCCATCCTCTTCGGGAGATTCACCCTGATCTGGTGTGCTGCAGTGTCAGCAAGGCAGCCTTTCTCCCTGCTGCCCAGTTTCCTCAGCTCTGTAGCATTGTAAGATACAGCCTCTGGACAATACTAGAAAAAAAAGTTCCAATTACAGTGGTCTGTTATCTGCCAGTAATGGTACTACAGAATGTTTTGGTTTTCCCCCCAAATGAAAACGCTGAAGATGGTCAGGAAGGAGGCAGAGAGGCACAGCTGTAACGCTTGCACCGCCACATCAGGGAAGGGGAAGCGGGGAAGGGTGGAAAAGGGACAAAATTAGTGAAGCGAGGAGGGCTCCTTTTCAACCGTTGCGGAATACTTTTTTTTTAAATCTAACACTGACACACTGTATGAGCGACATGAGCACAAGGCTGTATCTGTTTTTATATTAGGGAGGCCTGTGCCATTGAGGAATGTGTGCACAATTTATATGAGCTATAAGCTCTAAGCTATAAAATAAGAATCAACTCATCCAAGTCCAAATTCCTGTTTTTCATGGAAACTGCAATGTATGGCAGCTGTCTGAAGCGTGTATAAGGGGAGCTGTTACTATTTTTTTGGAAATTTATGCTGTCCCATGCCTGGAGCTACAGCTGATTAGTTTGCCAGAAACAGTCATTCATTAATCATCAACACAGGGCAAAACAGATCATTTATTTAAGATACACTGTACTATGATAGAGCCTGCTTATTTATTTATATAGGGTCTTAAACGAGCACATTGATGAATAAAAGTGTTTCAGCAAGTAATTAGAATTATCTTTGGCAAAGCAGATATCTCTTGGTGTAAGTCAGACAAAAGTACTGGCCCAAACACGTGGCTCGAGCAGCTCTGGAATACATAATTGAATCCTTACCCAAAGTTTCAGTCCCTTCTACTGAGAGGGGGCAGCTAGGAAATAGAGTTCTGCATCACAGTCTGAATCCTGAGCCATTCCCAAATGCAGAAATGTTTGACTGGGTCCGTCATAATTAAAAGCAGAGGTTTTGAAAAAGACTTTCTGAGATGAGGTTACAAAACCCAATCAAGAGTAAAAAGTAATGGAAATTAAAAACTTAAACATGGGAGAAATGTCAATGGTGCAAATGCATGAGAAATGAAGCCAAAGAGGCACGTGGAGGTATGCAGCTTATGGAAAAGCAGAAAGCATCCTGCGAGCACGCTCCAGGTTACAAGAAATGATAAGACTACATAAAATTGGAAGTATTCTGAGGTCTGTGTCAGCTGCAGTAGTTTCATCATTTTATGGCATCCAGTTCAAGTGCACACGATGGCTGAAATGGCACTCCAGGAGCCTCCATGGCACTTCTGAAGAGTGATTTACAGAGAAGACAGTGCTATGATATTTTTGCTGCTTCTTCAAGAGTAAACTTAAAGAAAATTATTCTTAGCCCTTTACCAAATCACGTGTAGGCTGTCTTCATTTCCAATTACATGTGTGTTGGTCTCCCAGATCCTTCCTGCCTTGAGACCTGAATATTTGGATAATACTGAAGAAATTCTGCTTTTTCAAGAATACAAAGAGTTCTTGCAGTCTCCTTTCTAACCAACAGCAACCATCAGAAAGCACACCACCACCACAAAACAAAAATCAGAATGTTCTCCAAATGTCAAAAGACCCAACATAATGTCTGTTTAAGAGGCAAAAGTTGTAATAGTATTTGTTCATGTTCACTTGTTAACAGAGTTCAAAAAGAAATGTAACTGGTTTCATATTAGTGCAGACAAGAAAGAAGGAAGCATTTAATTTGGCTCTCAACAGCTTTTGGTGGAACCAACCTGTTACAGATGGGACGCCGTTTGGTGAGACCACAAGGCTGGCTGGCTT